AAATTCACTTCAGGAATAAACAGAGCCCAAGGAAAATTGTTTTTTCCTATGACTTGTTTCTAAATGCCAAGGACAGCCCCCCTATCAATAATGTTCGTATTGAAAAGTTAAAGTTTCAAAATCCTACGCCAGAATTCAAGGCAAAGCTCTTCAAAGCTGGTGGGGTATGTATCTTATTTTCTTATGTAATAACCAGTTATGGATCTGCGAATTACCCTTTAAAACTATAGTAAGTAAATCTTGAATGTCAGTAAGAAAAACAGCAGTAAGAGAATGCAGTGATTGATAAAACCATGTATTCTGCAATTGTATTAAAAATCCCCACTTTTATAGCAGCTTAGGCAGATGGTCAATTAATGTAATGTTTTTAAGGCAATATTAAATCATTATGATTCTGAAAAGTTAGTTTTTATTTTCATAGTATATGGCATATTTCCGTCTTCGTGAGATGATGGAGTAGCTATGTAATCCTACACTTTGACGAGCTGCTCACTAGGCCAATCCTAGAACGACAATCTCGACTGCATTTCTTGCAGGAGATTCTTGCAGGAGAATATTGATTCCTGGCAAGATCTTGACTTCCGTATTGTTCTTTTTGTTGCAAGGGCCTCGTTTCGCGTATCTTCTGCCTTTTTTTATCCTCCTGCATTTGGCATTATGAGACTATCATGTTTATTGTTGAGCGCCCACTCCGGAAGCCACACTGGGACTCTGGGTAGATGCTGTTCGTCAGACTCTGCAATCGTTTAAGGGCAACACAGGCAAAAGTCTTTCCAACTAAGCCGAGGAGAGAAATTCCTCTGTAGCTATTGCAATCACTTCGGTCCCCTTTATTTTTATGCAATGTTGGCATCTCTCGTGTCATGTGGAATGTGATGTGTCATGTGGAATATGACCTGTTTCCCAACACATACAGAGGAGCTTATGTAAGAGCTGAAGTAGAATAGGCCTTTTCTTTTTTGAGGACTTACACTGGAATGCCGTCAATCCCTGGTGCCTCCCCATCAGCAAGGTAATCAATGGCTTTTTCGAGCTCCTGTAAAGTTGGTTCTTCATCCAGTTTTCCATTACCGACAACACGGGAATATAATTCAGAGCGGTCTCAGTGACTACATTCATTGTTGAGTATAGTTCAAGATAATGCTCTACCCAACACCGGAGTTGATAATTTGGGTTCTGGATAATTTGACCCATCTTGGACTTCAAAAAAAAAAAGTGGGTTAAGCTTATTTCAAAATGTGTTATGTGGTGGTACTAGTCATAACATGAAGTTTAATATATTCGGAAGGATCATGAATTATATATATTAGTAGTTTCTTAAATAAATAGTTTAGTATATTTATAAAATTAAATAATGTATAAGAAACGTTCCTGGTAATGAGATTTTTTTAAAGAAAATAGTCAACGCTTAAAAAATAAAAATATTAAGCAATGGATTTACTTGACATTTTTATTTAAAAGTTGTAGATAATTGTGCATAATCATTGAATTTTTCAGATTGAACAGGGATCAGACCCCATTCCTCATGCTATTGCAGACCCCTTTCCACCAGTAGTCAAAACAGATCATAAGAAGTTATCAAAACCACCAAAAGATAAAGTAAGAAAATAATCTTATCTTCTTTCTTGTGTGTGAAATTTGAAGTCCACATTGTTTGTGTGGTGAATCATCATCATGTCTATAATAATTTGATCTTTTTCCTGTAAGCAGCGAAAGAAAATATTTTTTTATACCAAGTGAAAGAATTACAACATTATAAAGAATTAAAATATTATACAGAAGGTGAAATCTCTGAAAGTAATATTTTTGTGAAAAACTAACCTCTAAAAATGTACCCTTTTTTTTTCACATTTTTCATAATTTACGTTAAAATCTGTCCAAGATTGTTTTTCTCGCACTCTGTTTTTCTCTCCGCTTTCATTGAGTTAAAAGACACCTTATGCTTTATTTAAATATGACAAAAAAATTATGGCAGTTGAAACTTGATAGTAACTGTATTCTGTATTCTGAATTATTATTGATAAATTTGTTGAATTTATTTTCAGGAGAAAAAAAAGAAGAGGAAAAGTCCACCAAAATCTGTATCTCCTGATGTGTCCCTGTCATCACTGTCTCCTACATCATCTGACGAAGATGACGATGATCATCATAATCCGCCACCCCCACCTCCTCCACCAAAGAAAGAAAAAGAATCATCCCACAAGAAGGGAACTTCTTCATCCCATGCCAGACAGGACACTTCCTCCTCATCATCACACAAAGATAAATCTAAACATAGAAGCAGCTCAACCAGTTCACTGCACAAAGAAAGACCAAATTTTGAGACTGAAAGCAGCCATAAATCCCACAAACATAAAAGCAAAGAGAAAGACGCAGAGAGGTCCAGTTCATCACACAAAGATAACCGGAAAACAGAGAGAGAATCTAGCTCACTGAAAGCACCTAAAGAATCGTCAGAAGCACGAAAAGACAGAGAAGGCTCACATTCCTCAACCAAAAGTTCAGCATCATCATCTCTGAGTGATAAAAGGAATTCATTGCCAACTGCCCCTGTCAAAGAAAAAGAGAAAAGTTCAAAAGAGAAAGATCGTGATAACACACCATTTTCACATAAAGAAAAACGAAGCTCATCAGGCAAAGAAAAAGATCAAGAAAAGTCTAGTTCTTCATCTTCGCATAAAATAAAACATTCATCCCTTAAAGAAGTATTTACAACTTCCTCCGAGCAAAAAAGGTCAAAACTTGACACAAGTGAAGTAAAGACTTCGAAAGAAAAAGATGGCCATGTGTCAAAAAGCCACAAGAGGCCACAAGAAACACCAGCAGAAGAAGCAAGTTTAGTAAGTGATAAAAAAAAACTGAAGCGAAGCGCTTCTCTTGTGAGCACAGAGGAAAAGCCATCAAAATCTAAAAGTGAGACTACGAAGGAAAAAAGTTCTACCATAAGTAAAGAAAGCAAAGACAAAGAGTCCCAGAAGGAGAGGAGAGAAAAGGACTCAAAGTCTTCAACATCAAGTAAGAGCAAGCACGAGAAGAGCAAGCATTCTGATAAACATAAGCAGAGTTATTCATCAGAATCAAAGCGCAAAGACAGTAAAGAAAAGGATTCTTCCATCAAAAGTGTGAAAACAAAACAGGACAAGACCAGCAGCTCAGAGGGAATCATCAAATCTGAGCGTCTGGCCATGACTGCAGATTTTCAACCCCAGTTGATGCTGTCTCCTTTGAAGAATAAATCTAGTGACGAGAGTCGAGACCCTTCTCCGGTGCCTTTGGCTAAGCCAAAGAAGATGGTGTCGTCCAAGAGCAACTCCAGCCTGAGCAGCTTGTCCTCAGATCATGAACTGGATGTGGATAAATCAGATGATGATACCCCAGAAGCCCAGGAAGAAAAGGCTAAGCATATTGTTTCAGGCCTTACAGATAGTGACAGTGATTCCGATGAAGAACTGTCTGTGGAAAAATCACCAAAGAAAGAGCTGAAGACTGCACTGATCAAGCAGCCTCAGCAGTTGTCAGAAAATGGTAAAGCTACGCCATTAAAGCATTCTGCTCCTGTTGCAGCTCCTGAGAAAAGTAAAAAGCACAGCTATGAACCTGCACCTGATGAAAGTGTTAATAAACCTCATAAGCACAATAGAGAGAGCAAACCTGCGTCATCAAAGAGAGATGATGTGAAAAGGGGTACGGAAAAATTTGTTGATCCCAAACAAGGAGATGCTGGTGAATTGATTAGCACTGCATCTCAAAATAATGGCGAAAAAGTTGATGGACAGAACTGTACGAGTCTTGACATATTGGCTCCTAATGGCATTCCGCTGGAAGAACTTATGTCCATAAATGAAAAAATAGAAAAGGCTCAGGTAGAAGCCAACCGTAACCTGCTGGAGAGGGTTGTGGAGATCATAAGTAACACAGATGATTTTGATTTAAGTGATGCATCTGTGTTTTTTGATATATGCAGTGTGGACAAAAATGTTGTGTTGCAAATTCAAACTGCATTACAAGAGTTCTGTTGTTGAGTCAAGTGCAATATTGACACACCTGGATTCTCACTGACAATTTTACCTTCCAATGACACAATATGTCTTTCATGTTATATAATCAGATACTTTGCTTATGCCAGTCCGGTATACATAGAAAATAGATCTTCATGCAGCCATATTGTGCTATTTTACAGACGTTTTCTGGATTTATTTCTTAGCAACAAGCAAGTGGATTAAGTGTTTCCATTTACCTTTGTTATTAAAATTTGTCAGACATATTTTCTTGATGAAATAAACAAATGTGACAAGTAAAATAATACTAATAAAATTGTAATATTAATATTACATTCACACTGATCAACAGGATTGTAGAAATTTTTTGCTTTTACTGAAATTGAAGGTTTATTTAAAAAATTTTTCAATAACATGGTCTGGTCTGAAGGTTCATAACAAGAGCCATTCAGTTTTTTTACAAATACCAGTATTAGTAAACATGTTTTAGCCACAAAGAAATACCATAATGGAGGAAATCAAATTTGTACATTTATAATATAAAAGGAAGAATGTATTTTCAAATCAGTAAAGGAGAATTAAATTTTTCCAAACAGTGAAATACTACTTATGTTTACAATCCTGATAAATAGGGATTTCTTCTTCTTCTATATTTTGAATGCCCACCATCAATGTAATGATCATTCTCATTCTGCCATGTGATGATTTTAGCCTTTGTTGGACAGTTTTTCAAACTCGGGTTGGTTATTTTAAAACCTCTCTTGGTTTGATTAACATAAACTAGTTATATTATGGTGTTAAGTTTGTCAGCAAAATGGAGCTAATAGCTAAAAATAGCTTTTTGCCTCACAGATATTGTATAACTGTATGGCCAAAATAAATAAGTATAAGGTTTGTAATAACCTATACTCTTAGCAGTGAACTTAAAACATGTCTTCTTGATATAAAAACTGTATAGTAATAGTATATCTGTAAATGAATTTAACCTGAGTGATAATTTACCTTACAGTGTATTTGTATTAGTTTTCTTCTTGGTTTGATAATTTATGTAAGTTTTCTTGCCAGTTTGTCACCACCAAGCCAAGAACTTGATTATCTATCTTGCAGTTAGGTCCTAGTTTCCTATCCATTTTTTTTGCTCTAACAATTTTCAGCCCACTTTTATGTTGATTTTTATTTTTAGCAAGTTTGTCTGCATTTGCTGTTAACTCCTTCATTCATTTGTATCCACTCGTGGAACACCTTGTTGATCTGCTGCAGTAGGTCCAGATATGAGAAATTGGAGAATAGACGGTGAATTATTTTGAAACATATTCAACTGGTTGCAGCCTTCTATTACTGTAGAATATGCTTTGTATTAATATGAATATATGTATTTATATTGTACCCGACTGTAATAGTAAACTGTTAATTACTGTTGTGTCTTGTGTGCATAGTATACATAAAATTAAATATGTAACATAGTATATATTTAAAAATTTATTAAAGGGGAAACTCTTTGCTAATGTTTCTATAACAAATTTGTAATTAATTAAGTTCTGAATCTAGTATAATATAGGATTTAAAATAAAAGAGATAAGCAGATAATTATGATCCTACTGGAATGCATGAACTTCCCATCTACCAAAATTACTTGACAAAACATGCATTCGAGTGGGGTAACACACTTTATAAGAAACCCAGTTAGTGCTGGTCCCCCTCCCCAAAGTTTGCAACTGCACCATTTTTACATGCCCCTGAACTATATTAATACTTTTTATACTGCATATATTAAGCTAGTATATTTTCTGTTTTATAAAATACTTAGCACTTGCTGTATTTTTGAGAATCTCAATTAGCAGTTTTCAGGAATTTATTTAATGAAATCTGCGCCATCTGGTAATGTTAGTGACATTGTTACATAGAGAATTATGTACGATATTTTTATTAACTTATTTTAGGTGTAATTACTATTTTTCTAAAGTTTAAGATGAGTTTCTGTATCACTCTTACCGGTACCTTTTTTATAATTAATAATTAGTAAAAGTAAGGACAAAGCAAAGTCAGGGTTAGGTACCATACAATATATTGACAATACTCTTAACAAAATATAATTTGCTTTTTGAAAACTTCAATAATTGTTGAAACACCAACCTTTTTGTATTAAATTAGGCTTTCTGGTCACGTGCTATTCGCATATTCCTAATACATTTTATGTGTTCCTTTATTCAGATGCATGATCTATCTGTTAAGTCTGACCCTGATATATTATGACATTGTACTCCTACTCCTATGTTTTATAACAGAATTTGACATGAAATAATAATATGAGTAAATTGTTGTTATATTTTTTAAATGTCATTTGTTTAAATAAAATTATTTGCAAGACAGATTTCTTTAAAATCAAATTCTAATTTTTTATTGAGATACAATCAGATAATCATGTGCAGACTGTTTTTAATAAATCCAAACTACTGGAAAATAAAATAGTAATTCAGATCATAATAAACTCATTAATTTTTTCTTAACATGTTATTAAACAATTAACTGAAATGTAAATCTTTAAAATAATATCACAAAAATAAAAGTTAAATCAAAAGCATGATAAGCTGCAGTGACACATAATTTATTTACATCACAATCGGCCCCGCAATCGCACAATTATATCACTCTTCTGTATGAGTCAATCAGATGCACCCCATTCAAATGTTAACAAATTTCATTTATGTTATCATGTTCTATGCCATCTTGCCGAAAGATCATAAACGTCCACCTTTCTGCAATAAAAAAAATACATTTAGTTGATTTAACTGAAGGCAAATTTAATACATAAAAATTGTATGTTATGTCAATTTTAAGCCAACTTGCACAGAAGCTGGAAGTATAAGTAATTTCACCTATTATTGAAAAAACTAAACTCTGAAAAATATTCTTGCATGCATACTTTTAAAGTAATAATTTACTTTTAAAACAAAATTTCAGAAAAATTCTTACCTCAATAATTTCAATTTCTTCATTTGTTAAAGGTTTTCTACGATATTTCAATGGAAGTTGGGATGAATCTATCGTTTGTCTTGTAACTGTGGTTGTTTTTTTGGTGCCAGATGCAGTCAACTCCACTTTACCTGATTAAATGGATTACATTTTAACATTAATATGCAAATAATTTATTTGATAATGAACTAGTATGAGACCAGCTACACCTAGGATCTGTAAATTTTAAATTGAAAAAATGATTTTATCTTTTACACCAAGGTTTATAAGATAATATTTAGCGTAGAATCCCACAAATAAAAAAAAAATATATATATTTTTTTTTTAAAGTTTTAAATTTGCAATAATAGATTTTCCACATAACTTATTGCTTGTAAATGACGAGATGTGGAGGGATTATCATTTTAATTTTATAATTGCCTTAAATACCTAGATTCAGACACCAATAAAATTCAGCTACAAAAGTACTAAAAAAATTCTCTCTTGACATCTTTAAACCATTTTTACAGACATTGCAGCCACTTTGTGCTGATTTGAAAATGCAAATATAAGACAATTAAAAATAACTACTACTCTCCAAGTATAAAGTAACTACACAATTTAACATCTTTGAAGGTTTTTGAAATAATAACTTTGTCAATTTTATATTAAAATTATTTACCTGCAGAGGTACTAACAGCATCAACAGGATTTTTAACTGTAGAACCTCTAGATGGGAATTTTATCAGTGGTACATGAGGTCTCACCGCTTTCTGTAAAACAATGAAATGTTATGGACATTAAAAGTCAGACATATCAAAATGTGAGGTTTTAGAATTAAGAGAAATATGAAGTTGATATTGGTAATTGATTGCTTTACTTATTTTAGTACAGGTACTGTTGTTTAGTAATAATAATAATATGCTAATTAATATGCTTCTCAATCTAATATTCATTGAGAATATTCTTGTGATTTACTTTTTATAGTAGTGTTAGTAATGATTTATCCAGTCATTAAAATTTAACAAATATATATTATTTTGTGATCCTCTTTGCTCCTTTGACTTTGAGTTTGAGTGGTCATCCAGAAATAATATGAATAATAATCAGCAGATGACCCACAATTTATTAATGATTAAAATTAATGTCAAAGTCAATGAACAAGTCAAATTTATTTCACAACACTAAAATAAGATACAAGTAGTAATAAGAATAATAATAAGTACACGGCATAAATTTTAATTTAAAATTTAAATAAAAATTCCTTACTTTACTTACACTCTCTGACTCTAACTGACTTATACACTTATTCTTATACTTTAAATAATACATATTTATAAGTTAACTTTAAATTGAGACTAAACTCCCCAGTGAGTCGTGTAAACACTTAACTTTACTTTAACAAAGAACAGAGGCTAAAAAATAAAAGAGTGATAATTAATAATTATGAGTAGTACATGACCATGAATTATTTAAGTTTAATTTGAAAAATAAATAATCGAATGCCATAAAATAATAAACTTACGACGACTGTTTTAGTGGCAGCAGCTGCCATTGTATTTTTTATTATAGGGAGACCAAGCATTAAATTCCTAAACGTAACTGTGCTTTAAATAGCTTTCAAATTAATTAAGTCTCAGCAACAAATCATGTTTAATAAGGTCTATAGTCTATACTCTTACTAAAAGACAAGCCATTGGCATTGGGGATATTTCAATGATACAAAACCGGAAACAATAAAAAGGGCAACAACTGAGTGTATGGGACTTTTATTGGGACTACCTTAAATTAAGACTTAAATATACTATATAACGCAAAATGAGACAAAAATAATATTTTGGAATATATTAGTTATCACTCTACACTTAAAAATTGTATGGGTAGATCTAACATGCCATAATAGTTCAAAGTAACGGGGTGGGGTCCCAAAATCCATCACCGGCCATAATAATTTGGCCTACTAGGCAATTTTAATTTCACGACACATGTATGCGTTTTTATTTTTATTATTTTTTAAACTCTCCCCTTTCATCAATAATCCAATTTTTAGGCTTCAATTCTCCATTTCTATAAAGTTGGGGTTGGAGCAACTGTTTCTTACCTACTAAGGTTACTTACACAAACCACTCAAGTAAGTGTAAAATTTAGGCTTACACAATTTTATTTATGGGTCTCGTTCAAAAAGGGTGTTAAAATGGTTAAAAGTAGGCTATTTTATATATGTTTCCTACTTGGGGCCATCGACCAATGGCGTAAATGCAACAAAAAAACAAAAAAAATTATTGCTACATTTCACATAATATTGATAAACGCATAATGATAATGCAAAAACTAGTTTTTTAAATATATTTTGAAATTCTTAATTGTGTCGAAAGTCGTATTTTATATACAGTAGCCGTATGCCCTAAACTATACCTCATATTGATTTTATGGAAATTTTTGTCATTTTACAGAACAAAGAAGAGCAGTTTAGCGCATTAAGATCAATAAGCATCTTTTCAGCTCTGACCAAAAAAATGGAAGGTCGTACTATGCCAACCTTAGAAACAGAATATCCTTTAAAGCCACTGCGAACAATAAAATGGGCTCCGTAGCCGTAAGAACCCATTATATTTAAATTTTCAGAAGAAGAAAAGGTGACCAGGCCAGTGTAAAAATATTCAAAGTAAAGGCATTAGGCTAGGCATTATTAGGATTATCCCATGTAACAATTATTCCTCTAACTCGATTAAAGCTAGTAAATATTTTTTCGGTGCGATATGGTGCTGCACGCATCATTCGCACGAGTCGAAGGGATTTAAATTTTGATGTATCCCGTCGATAAATCCTTTCCACGCCATTAAATTTTAATAAAGAATGTAAGTGCGCGCTGTCATTGAAATTATTATTGTATGATTTGCCTAAATTATCGAGACTTATAGTATAGGCCTTGCACATTCACATAATCCCATAGATAGACATAGCCATAAATATAGTGCCTAACTTAACTAGATTAATTAATTAGACACGAACAATTTGTGTCAATATCACAATATATATATATAGGCCTAATATAATAATAATAATAAAGTTCATTTCAAAAACACGCTTCATCCCCAAAGGCTCGAAGCGCGGTACAAAGTCAACAAAAAAAAAAAACAAATCTATAATTTACCACATTTAAAACAAACGCAACACTACAAAAACTAATTACAAGCATACAATGGCAAAGTCTTTCTAACCATTTCAACCATAAGCAACACAGCCATTATGCATTAACTGGAAAATAAGGTTGACAATATATATATATGTTTAGCTTTAATAATAATTCTACATAATTAATACTCAAGTACCTTATAACTTAGACTTAACTAACGCTTTCACTTTCTGAGTTTTTTTTTTTTTTTTTTTTTCTTTAAAAATAATTGATTTTTTTTTTGTGTGGTTTTTGACTCATATTTTATTTTTACTCAAATTTTGATGCGGTATATTTTATATTCGTTCACTTTTTTTTTTTTTTTTTTTTTTACTTTAAAAATAATTGACTTTTTTTTTGTGTGGATATTGACTCATATTTCATTTCTACTCAAATTTTGATGCGGTATAATTTATAATCGTTCACTATTGTTTGTTTTTAAATGACAATACCAGTAGTGGGATTTTCATTTTAACAATTATCAAGTTTGGAAAGTTTTCATGTAATTTAGATGCACCGCATTTTATCATAATATTATGAATCATAAATAGACGAATTTAGCAAATTGTAATTGAAGCCCACTATTGGAGCTCTCCTAACACATGGAGTATACAAAGCTAGATGACTGATATAGTTCTTGTTTGCCAAAGTAAAGATTGGTTATAAACATGTCGAGGTAACTCGATCAAGTCAACAAATACAAAGTTTACTATTACAACTGCTAATTAAATTCAAGAGCTAGACTTGTAAATAATGGTAGGCCTAATAATAGTAAAAAAATTATGATACATTTATAAATGTCATGAAAAATATCATGAATTCTTATTGCGACGTTTGTTTTTCATGGAAATACGATAAGCCACCAGTAACTATTACAAAATTTAGTCAAACTGGCTTCGAGTCTGAGACTGAGGAAGAAAACAACACAGAAAGGTAACTTTTATTCCTTTTAACTTTTTTAAATAGTTAATGTCTTTTAGTGATGACGAAATGAACCGCCCGTTGGGTTGGCTTAAATGTATGTTTTATTATACTTAAAATTTGTACTCTTACTTAACTGCAAACTTTGACTTTGATCTATCTAACCAATGACCAGGGAATCAGTGAATGAATGAATATCATGAGTTAAATACAAAATATGATTAATGAATGAATTTTGAATGTCTGCTGGCTGATGGAATGAGAAAAGGAAAAATGGTTAGTTACGCAAGCCATAATATTGCCATTAATTCCATTATCATAAACGTCACAATGCATTATTATAATTGTTAAATATAGACAATCAGCCTCAGTGCAGCCATCCTGGTTGTCAAGACCAGTGAAAGGTCACCCTACCCCTAAACCTATACCAAAGCCTAACCTGAACCCTAATAAAATAATCCCTAAACCTAACCTGAACCCTAAACCTATTAAGTGAAATAAACACATAAATGACATCATGGCATGAATTGTCTACTTTGGCTTTAGCAGCAGGCTTTAGCCTAAAAATGTATTGCGACCATTTTTTTTAAAAATTAGGAAATTTAAAATCATTTTGGCTCAACAGTTGTTCACTGTTAAGTACTGCTGTCTATAGGGAGAAATTAATCTCTTATTTTAAGTTTATGGCTCGTTCTAAACAGTACATAACAAAAGATGATAACAAATGAGAATTATAAAAGCAAAAGAATACGACACTCAAAACAGGGCTAACTACAATTAATACGATTTATTAAGTTACTAATAAATTACAAAAGAAAAGAAATATAATTAAAATCATTAACTTACAGAGTACTGTTTTGCTTGTACCGGTACACAGTTGATGATAATACAATGTGCCAAAAAAAAGATAAAACAATGAATAAGAATTCATACATATAAGCATTCAAAACTCTAGCAAGAATAACACACTCTAAAAATAACTATCGCCTGTCATCCGGTAAAGTAAAAAATATCTCTTGATAAAATGCTCCCCAAAAATCAATCTTGTCCCCTTTGTATAGTCTGTTCAACTAGTGTATCTAGCTAGAACTGCCTTATGCATTGTTTTCCTTTTCAGTTTTCTCCAGATTTTTCTACAGAAATCTGATAGATACAGTCTATTAATTTTATTTAGGTCAAGAGACTATTTTTAGCCAGCCATACCTTAAATGCGGTTTCGAGCTTGCTTGAAAAAACAATTATTTGTGGTTACACAGAGAATTCTTCTGTCTGTGCGGTGTTCTTTTGAGTAAAAGTATTATTATTGTGAAACTAATTTATAATTAGGATGAATTTTATATTTTTCTAGTTGTTCCATTCATTTATGCCTGAAATATCAGTTTTGTTTAAAAATAATCAATTTTGATTTTGTTTTCTTTCACTGTACTGGTTACAACTCACGCCTAACCAGGATAAATTGACAAATGCCCCAAAGCCAGTTTTGTACTAGTAAAAACAGAACAAATGGTCATCTTATCATTATTTAAATATGATATAATATGCCATATTTATTATTATTATATATTTATGAAATAGACTAAGATTAGTGTTTCATCTGTAGGTATATTATTAAAAAGGGCATTTAATCACCAGTATGATATTGATAAAACTTTAGAGTAATATACTCAAAGTAGCTGGAGTTGTAAATTTGTTTCCAACTCTGCAGTCATTATGATGCCTATGCACTAAAATTTTTACTTATTGGAAGAATACTTTTGATAAGTCTATTCATTACAATTTTTATAAACCTTCATTCTAAATGAGCAATTTGACAGAAATAATGTGTTTCTTAATGCCAATTAAAATCTCAGTTTCAAGCTTTGCTCTGAGGATCAAATTGAACTGAAATATCTTGGAGAGAGTCAAGAGTCATTCCACTGCATTTTATACCTCAATTGCCAAAAACCAGAATTGGCAAGAATAAATGGTTTTTGCATTATCAGTGAATCAAGAACCCTGGAAATATGCAATGACACTGATGGATACTTGGTGACTGTCCATGGAAAATTATTAGGGAATGTTAGCTCAGATCAGTTGCATACACAGTTTTATGAATGCAGATGCTCATTTGAAGATAGCTTCTCAAACATCTCTGTTAAGGTGAGTAAACCACTTATTGTTTAAGAGTATAATTATAATTTGAATTATAAAGTATGTAGATATGTTCTTAAAATAGTTGCTGTCATTTAGGATATTGTTATATTGTACTAAGATCATTAACATTAACATGCAAGACATTTACCTTATTTTTCAGTTCCTCTCTCTTGGGAAGAGGACATTTTTCAAGCTTCACTCCCTTGTGATTTGCTTATCTCAACCATCTGATGTACCCCTAGGTTTGCCAAGAGGGCCATTTAGTATGAGTAAACTTAAAAAAGATATTGACAAAATGGGAGAGTCTGTGTCGGACAAGGCTAAAGACTTTCTTACAACTTTGGAACAGTATGAACAAGTGAGAATTTAAAAAAATAAAATTCTGAATGTTTAAAATCAGAATAAGTGAAAAACGATTTTAAAGTATAGATGGTTGTTTACATTACTTTCTACCTTTCTAATGATCTTTATTGAAAGCGGGGAAAAAAAATTTGTTTGTGAGATAATATAGTGGGCTAAATTTACTGTTGCCACCACTGCTGAGTAGACCTAGTACTAGAGTGTTAGCTAGCGAGTTCAATTTTTGAAAACACAAGGCATAATTCCTACAAAAAGTTGCATGATATTTTACAGGATAATAGATATAAATATGATATTTATGGACTGATTGTCAGAATTTCAGGTAAGTTGTTGCAGAATTTGTGAATTAATGTACATACTTTCTGCCAAGAGCCCCCCCCCCCCTTATTTTAAAAAATTAACCAACCCCTTTACTCCCTACATACTATATGGATGACTCTTTACTTGACTAATGAATCCATTCATGCCTCAGTCTATAAAAATTCAAGCACACTGTCAAATGGTCAGGAAGGCAAAAAACATAACCTTAGTGGCACATTTATTAATTTATACTTCAGAAATTCATACTGTTTTTTCTCAAATGTCTTTACCTTGTAGCATAGCCAAGAAACTAATGCAGTTAGAATAATTTTGGTTTTTTAATTTAAAAAAAATTGTTAGACATTTTGTGTATGGTAATTTATATTCATTAATATTAGGCCTTAGTGTTTTCCTTTAAACCCCTTTAAAAAAATCGCTTTATTTTCTTTCTTTCTTGCTTTAAAGTTATAATGGAAAATTCTATGTTACAGTTGATGACACTTAACTTTGCATTCTTAACCAGAACAAGTTAAAGACACTCTCTGGTTTAATGGCAGCTCATCAAGATAACGAACAACCACAAAATCAACAAGGTCTTTCAGCCATAATGAGCAGTATTCTTGGACCCAGTGCAGCAATGTCACTACTGAATGCCTCCAATGGTCATGATGGGGTTAACAGCGGTAAAGAGATGGACATCTATGATATGCTACAAGCGGTGTGCAGTAATGTGGTAACCATGAGGGCTACTGATAACAACAAGTAAGTATGATAAAATAAGTCTTACATGGTCAAATGATAAAGGCTGTTTAAGTAGATAGTAGTGTCTGTGATAAGTTTATTCATTGGTGTAGTTATAGGTGGTGCCACCTGGGGGCAGACCAAGCTTTTTTGCGGTCGCTCTCCCTGAAAAAACTGAGCATTTGGTTCAAAATGATGCCTCTTAATATAAAGAAAAACATGCCCCCCCCCCTCCCCCTCTGCAACCCCTTCCTACGCCATTGAGTTCCTCTAATGAAGTTTATAAAAAGCTCAAAAATTAAGAACACATCCTCAATTACTAACAGTCAATTTAGATGAGATAATTCTGGTTGAATTTCAGAGCAAGCATTGTAAATAATGCCCAAAACCCTTTTTTAAAATTAATGTTAATTCAAAATAGTAAATCAAAGACACAATGGGTTAGAAACTATCAGTTTTGTTATAACCAGGATGGGCTGAAAACAGACGTAGATAAACATTAATCTAGTTCTAAAGCCTTTTAAGGAGATATTAAATGCCACATATTATCTTTGTTGTATAGTTATTTTGTTTTTACTGTTGTTTATATGCTGATATGTTCTTTGTTTTGTCATGTCTTTTTGTTTCAGGTTTTCCTATACTTAGTTTCGCTCCATTTCCATAGTTATTGTAGATTTTAACTAGTTTTAGAAGTCCTATAATTGTTCATATGAAAAATTACCTTTTTTTTCTTGATACGGTACCATAATAATTTAGAAAAGCTACAAACCCATGACTTTATTTGAAACACACAACATAATAATCATTGCTGTTAAAAAAAATGTAATGCTAAAATTGTATACTTCCAATTATAATACTAAAAGAAACTAATATGCATGTTGAACACTAGATTCAGTTTGTATTATTTTTAATTTCCTTTTTAAATCTTATTTCTTGTTATTTTTCAGAAATGCGTCAGTTTCCCCTGATTCAGGAGCAGCCAGTTTCACAGGGGTTCTTAGCTCTGACACTGAAGAGGTGGACCATGTAAAAGATCAGTCAGAGCTTTTGGAGATAGTTGATGAAAAAATAAGTCAAGTCCGTACAGAACTTCAAGCGAGTATACTGGAGACAAAACAAGAGATGGCTGAGAAAATAGATGCAACAAAAAATGAACTGAACCAGAAACTGGATTTGATACTAAAATTGTTGGGAAACAGTCAAGGTCTTGTAGGAGACAGCTAACTTCAATTAAAATAGATTTTTTCCCCCTTGTTTCTAACAAGCAAAAACTTTTTGGACCAGATGTGTCTTTAGAAAAAATGCAATTTTAAAGATGACCTTTAAGATTGATTATTTACTAATGTATGTATCAATATAAATACACAATGAATCTTAACCGTCATCTTAAGAACTCTTATATTTATAAACAGAGTCAAAAAATAATTCAAAGTACCCTATAATAAAAAATTAAATAGTAAACAAAGAACACAATTTTATTGCTGTTGAAAAATTTGCATAAGACTCGAGCCTGCTACACTACCCATCTTACAATGTTGTCAGGAAAAATAGCAAAATATAATTTTAAACATGTAGAAATTATTTAAAATAATTTCACACTGTGACATTTAAAATGTGACAACTTTTATGAAAACAATATTGTGTTCAAAACAGTGGCCATGATTGAGCAGCTTGCTTTGTCTATGGGTTTTCCTTGAATTTTCACTTCAACCAGGTTGAGAAGTTCTTGCTTATATTTTATATAAAAGGCCACTTAACCATCAACATTAACTTTTTACTACTGTACTCATGAAATTTGCTTTGAACTGGTTGGATCTCTTAACTTAACTGCAATAAAACCAAATGAACTGCTCTCTGAGAATCTGAGTCTACTGGCATCACTGGTTACATACATACACTTTGAGACTTTTAATTTTAAGGAAATTTTCAAGAATAGTAATACCATCAAAAAGTGTTTAGTCCTCAATAGCCAACTACTGGTCATTTATTAGTGTTAAGGATTCTATGAATCCCTATTAATACTATTATTAATAGTCATAAACCAGTCTATTAACCCACACTATGAATAAATTTTCAGGCTGTAGCAATAAAACACATGATAATACTGTCAATTGAAAGATGTACATGCTTTGCCATCAGTAAGTATTTATCGTTGGATTTGATAATACTGGTGGTAATTTTTGCTTTATGGGGGTTGAGGGTTGGGGGGGGTGGGAAGGCTGTCTAACATGGCAGGAGTTGGGTTGCTTTTCCGATTGGCTCAATTGAAATGAATTGTGTGCATGTATCAAATGGAATGACTGGTTTTTGTTGTGGATTTTTGTTTGTTATTATAGTCCCCTATTCCTCTCTAGTCTATTCAAGTAATGCTGNGGGGGGGGGGGGGGGGTTGTTTAAGGCATTTGGGAAGAGAGGCTGGGCATCTCATTTAGGTTTTGGCATCCCCTGAGGTTATGTTTTTGGCCCCAGCTTAGTTTCGCCCCTGGTATCTACTTAGTTCGACTATATAGATACCAAAGTAAAGGAGAAAATAGAGATAGGGTTTGGGGAGAAGGCTCATTGAGCCTATCCACTGAAAATTTTTTATAAATTCAAAATGCAGGGGTATATTTTGCCATGTACCTAAAATTAGTTATGCATCATTCTACACTTAATCAGCGAGCAACAGAAGATAATCGAGTGTAAATTTCCGCCTTTGACCTGATTGTGTCTATATAAATCCTTAATGTTTAGTTGTTACCGGTACCAAATAGTAATTTTTTTAAATACATTTTAATTCAAACCATTTATTTTTTTAGACTTGTTCATTAAAAATGGGAATTTAAAAAAATATATATATCTGTTTTAAAAAATGATACCGGTATTCTGCACAAAAAAGAACTGCTTACATCATTAAAAAATATTGAATATAAAGAAGAAAAAATAATAATAATATTTTATAATTACCTTTTTGCTTGTAATTAAATTTTATATAGTTTCAAGTTTTATAGAAACCCACAACAACAAAAAAAAAAGAGCAAATATAAAGTTTGTAGAAAATTTCTTTAGATAAAAAAATATAGGACAAATTTTAAAAGGTAAGTCAGAATCTTGAAAAGTTTATTTCTAATTAACATTTGGCACCTATTATGTAACACTTTGATTTGAATCAACACATTTAACCTCCCACCCCCAAACACAACATCCCTAAAAATGATAGATTTCTCTAGAAGTATTGCCAAAAAAATGGAATTGATTATAATATAAAAACTTAGGGAATCTGCTCCTCTCTGCACTTTTTTAAAGTCAATTAAATTGCCTAAAGATCTTTCAATATTCATTAACAAAATGGGCAACTTGATATGGCCGTAAGGCCCCTTCGACTTAGAAGCACGAGGACCTGATCAACTACCCAGTATGCCCACTGGGAATAGGTTTATTACCACAACCATTTCAGGCTCAGATGCCAGTCCTTTAGAACAAAAGTCCAATTTATTTGAATTATTTCCATTGGAACCTGATTCCTCTACAACATAAGCCACAAAAAAGAGTGAAGGAGTCTCCTCAGGAGACCAAGATGGAAGCAAATCATAACAAGAAATGAGTAGGTACCAGGTATGAAGAAGTTGGCCTTAAATGCCACCCCTCCGAAAGTGCCACTCTAGCCAAACCACCCCTCCTTCCTACGCCACTGAACGTGTGGTGTAATGGTGAGTTCAATAGCACCCAAAATAAAACTCCCAATAACTTAATATTTTCTTTCGTTTTATGGAAAAAGTCTCATATAGTATAATAAATCTGCGGTGTAAGTAAAAGAGGGTGGGACATTAGAATATTAATACAGTTCAGAAGAGGGGGGTGGGGGGGGTGAAAAAAAAAGTTTGTGGTGGCGTCCCTAGTGGGTGTAGCGCTAATTGGAATTTTTACGAACTGTGTTACTTGAATGCATGTTTTGTCAAGTAACTTTAGTAGATGGAAGGTTTGTCCATTGCAAACCGCCATTGTTTGGCGGGCTATGGTTAGTAATTATTATAAATTTCGTGTGTTATGCCTTTGAGTTCAACACCAGGAGAAGCATTTGTGTCTTCAAAATTAATCACAACATTGTCAAACGGCTTGTAAAATTATATTTTTTTGTTGCCTGTTAACTATTAATGCCAAATGACTTCAGTATGAAGCAGCTGATGTTGAAAATCTTTGTTCTTAAAATTTAATTCACTGCAATATTGACGATGTTTAAACAGGCGATCCCTGAGTTTTCTTTAGCAACCTGTTGTTTTTGATGAAAGACACTAGGACCTGTCACATTGGTTTTGCCACAAATACTAATAATCAAAAACAGTTGTAATGTGTCATTGATGAGGATCCATTCATTGCAAAAGTATTAGTATGTTATAGAGCTGAATTTTTTTTATTGCCATTTTTGGTCTGCTCATCAACAACAAAAAATATAGTAACAAACTCCTCTACCTGAGATTATCTGTTTTAGTTGTCTATCAGTCAACAACACTTGATCCAAACTTCAAGGAAACAAAGATTTATTAGCTTCTGAGCCAACTCATTCAATAGTAATATAAACTCTGTCGAGTTCCTTGCATGCTATACAAATATTCTACATTGTTTGCCTTGTGTCCATGAACTTAGAGCATCACTAATAAATTGCTGGTACCGGTTGAAAGAGTTCTTCGCCGATTGTTTGTTGCTTTCACAAATTAAGAAAATCATTAGGTTATATCGTCAATATAATATGAAGCAAGTAAGCCACGGATTTTTATTTAAAATGAGAAGCATTAAAAACATCCTCAATAATAATAGGCCTACTACTGCTCACAGCCGTCAAGCTAAGTATGTATAAATGTGAATTTTTTTGTAAAAGGGATTCAAAAAATAGTTCACTCTCCTGCTTGTGTGGAATTTAAAATAAAAAATATCTCTGTGCTTATCATTGTGTATAATTTGATGCCCTCCCCACAAATATCCCAAGCCTATCAGCGCCCCACCCCTAGGCTTTGAGAGTAATTGATAAGTAAAAAAGTGAATGATGTCTTCTTGTATTTATATTTAATCTAAAGAAATTTTGACTTAATGGATCAAACTAGGTGATTCTTGTTGATGAAAGTTCTTGCAATAAATCAAATATCAAAAACAAAGAGTGTATCAGTTTGTTTTATGATTGTGAAAGCACATGTGTAGTCTTGAAGTTTAATATTTTATTTTAAAAAACCATTGCATTTTAACTATTGACATAACTAAGATGGAAAATACTATACATCTATTTGCTTTCTTATGATTAAATAAAGGTTAAAAAAAATGTGGAAGTTAAATGATTCTTTATGTATTTCTTCTTAAAACAAATCAATAGAAATATTATGGTTCCGAAAAAAGTAATGGTGTTTGATTGGAAACTTTTAAATCACGCTAATACCGATAATAAAGAGATACAATTGATACATAATTTTAAAAAACGTGGAAACCTCCATAAAGTTTTTGATACGGTACCCGGTAATTAACTCTTTGATTATGCATTCTGATAAAACACATTTTCTCCCATGATAATAATCCCCCACACTCAAAAAGTGTTTAAAAAGAACAGATTGCAACAATTTTTTTCTTAAGTTTCCTAATGGTTTAATGTTTAATGGTATTATAATCCAAATTGATATAAAAAAAAGAGAAATAGTTATGATTAGTCAGTACTGTTAGTATTTTACAAATGACAGTTTTTTGGGGCAGGTTATTTTTGAGAGCTCTGCTCTTGCCTCTTGGTAATTATTTTTCAAACATTTATTTAAATGTTTTAATGTTTTGTTTCTGTAATCTACTCTTTAATTTAAGTTTAAGCTTTTTTGGGGGGGGGGGGGGGGG